AACCCTTCCCGTGCCGACTTGCCTCTCCCGCGCCAGGTCCCTGCAGCAGGTGGAGGCTACTCGCCGGAGCCTGCGGAAGGGTCTCTCGCGGATTTCGGCCCTCAGCCGCATGGCAAGAAGATCCGTCGAGCCCAGCAGCGCTCAGTTCTTCTTTTTTGGGGGGCCGATGGCTGGCTCATTTGTCGGGTTGCCAGCGGGGAATTTCGTGGTCACAGGTTGCACAGCAAACAGTGCCGGCAAGAGCAGCCTCGCGTGCGTGGGTGCCCCTGGCGTATTTGTGCTGTTGCATAGGTATTGGCACAAATGTTGCCGAGAAGCACACACCGGCATTGAAGTTTGACGGCAGCATGTTGCCTCGACATAACACAATGACTATCATACATCACGCTGCCTTTGGAGTTGACCATCACTTTTGCGCGGGAACAAACCTTCTCTTTGCGGTGGGGTTGGCCAGAGCACTCAGTGCATGCGGCGCCAAATCACTTCTGCACCTCAGCGATGCGTATTCCAAACCCAAGATTGCGCGGCGTGACACGACGGGGGCATTCACTTGTGCGAAATCCTTTTTAAGCCCAAAAGTGACCTGCTGATGAGGTGTTTGAACCACAACTCATAAGGACATGGCAGTGCCTTGGGAGCAGCGTTCAGGCAAGCGTGGGCTTGGGGTCAGCTCTTGAGCTTGGTTTTGGCTGAATGGGGGACAGTTTGCAGGAATGTCTCCCTGATCCAAGAGGGTTTCCTCCGCAGCGACTCCTATCCCTCGTTACCACAAGCGCCGTTGGCTCTGAGGAGATGAGGTCTGGGAAATCTCGCAGGGCGCGGATGAAAGCGACTTAGAGTTCCTGCAGCCCACTGTAGGAGCCGCGATGTGAAGAGAGGTCGATGATTAGCTAAATTTCTCTTGAAGCATCCCCCCACAAAGGAGCTCACTTTAAATTGGCAGAGAAGGTCCTTCAGATTTCCAGTGCTTTCGGGTCTGGAAAAGTGAGAGCGATTGACCGTGGAGCAAGATGCCAGGTTGCCCCCGGAAAGGACGAGCTCTGGAGGTTCTTCAGTGCCGGTTATTCAGAGCAAGCAATAAATCTACAGATTGGAAGTTTGGTTCGCTTGGCTGGTTCTGAGCTGACGCCCCGGGGAGGCGAAGCAATGCAGCGCTTGGGGCATAGCGGTTAGGTTTCACATCCGTGTCACAGACAGTTGGATGCCCTTTTCCAGGCAATCTTGGTTGAAGGCTGATGTTGCTGTACCAAGACGCCAACCAGATGATGTCTAAATTATGTGTGTGTAAGGGTGTGGCACATCACATTGCTGAAATGCACGTGTGCAGACAAATGTACATACATGTCTGCGTGTGCGTGTCTACTAAACTGCCAACCAGGCAAGTTAGCTTTAACTGCAGATGCGCAAGAAGCTAACAGAAAGCTAACCCCCGAATGCTCCCCTGCCCTTCCTCCCTCCCTCCCTCCCTCCCTCCCTCCGTCCCTCCCCTCCCTCCCTCCCTCGCTCCCTCATTCCCTCCCACGGTTGAAGATCTACGACAAAATTGAGCAAGCAACTAGGATGTATTTGGGCTCGACTGAGGCCATGACAAAAGTGAGTCAAATGGCACTCGGACCGAAATGAGTTGAACCCGACGTAGGTGTTCTCACCACACATCTCACACGCGCATTGCACATTTACAGAAAGACAGTAGTGCACATTCAGTTTCGGTGCACCTTCGCACAGACGAAAGCTTTGAAGCGCTTTGCTTTCAGGGGGCCGAGGAAGGGACCAAGATTGGGACACGCTTCCATGAGTCTTGGTCCCTTGGCTATTGGTTCCCTAGGAGCTTCAAGGCGCTTTTAAAGCTCCCCCTAGTGGATCAGTTTGTTTTTGCTTGTACTTACGAACTAGTAGGGCACGCATCACACGCAAAAAACGATTCTACAAAGGCCGACATTTGGTTCCAAAAGCTGATGCAAGTACTGGGGTGGAATTGGGCCCAACATGACAACGGTTCAATTTACCTGGGGCACCCGAGCAGATCCTAGAAAGCACTTTGCCTCAGGGGCCAAGGCGCAAGATTGCTGCCAGAGCAAGATTGCTGGCCTAAGAGCTTATAGGCGCTTCATAGATGCTTTCCGTGGACAACCTCAGGCCTAAGTACCAACGATCTGTGGATCTGTTGGCTTTTGTATTTAGGCTTTGCTAGCTTCCGCGCAGCCCAAAACGCGCTTTAATGCTCCCATTTGACAAAGAGCGAGGGACCAAGATTGGGAGGGAGAGTGCCCCGGTGTGGAATAAATATATATATATATATATAATATAATGTATGGGCGTGTACACACGCTACACATGCGTGTGTCTTGTTGCGTTGAATTGGTTCGAGGGTCAGCACTGTTGAACCCTTCATCGGGTTGTGCCGAGCCTCCAAGAGATGATCAAACGGAGGAGCAGGCAAGTTCTTTGGTTTCTTTAATCTCCCTTGTGACCGCATGCTCGGAGCAACCTTGTGCTGGCAGGAGGCACTCCCTTGTCCGATGGCCCTGGACAAGATGAGAGCCCTGCAGGCCTGATGCGCAGGTTCTTGGCTTTCGTCTCATTTGGGGGTGTACCAACACAAAACCCAATTGTGAGAAAACCACCTGGACGTTAACGCTTGCCAAGACACCTTGGCCATGAACAACACGCTTGAGCTGCTTTCAAGGATTGCTTTGTTCGCGAAGCTGGTTCCTTTGTTTGGTGTTTTGTTCCCCGGTCTGAGGCAGGTGAGACCCTTTTCGCACATCCCTGATTCGGGGGACAGTTGGGCTGGATTTAAGCCGGCTGCTTGCTTCGGCCGGGTTGGGTTGGGGTTTATGTAGGCTTGGCTTGGGGATGGTGTTGGGGCTCCTCGATTGCCGGCCAATACTACAAAGTGGCCCACAAGAAGCCGGCAAGGTTTGGCCAAGCAAACAACAACTTAAACGATCGATTTTTGGCTCCCATCAGTGTTACGCTTTGGACAATTTGCCATTATCTGCCCCCGGCATCACCGGCATCACTTGGACCCGGGGCAGCTTATAGCTTGGGCGGGGTCCGCCAGGTCTTGCGGTTTGGCGAGTTAGCTTCGTGTAGGTGTGGGGCTGATTGACCATTGGCTTCCGCTTTTCTTTGGCTCAGTAGGTTTCTGCTTGCCTGGGTGGCTTGGGGCAGCGCAAATGGCTTGTTTGCTTGCCTTGTGGCTTTTAAACCAACCCAAACTTGCTAAAGCACAATCCCAGCCCCAAGCCAGTCTGTAGTCGGGGCGTTTGTTAATCGGGCGTCAACATGAATCACGGCAACCTGGAACAACTGCAATGACGTTCGGCACGTGGGCAAGCGCCAGTGCCCTGACAGGGTGTCTAGAAGATCGATTTGGCGAAGACAACGGGAGCTTTCAGGGAGGCGGGGTCGCAAAGCCTACACGCATGTGGGTTGCTCAAGTTAGCTATGCCAGCAATTGGGCGTCAAGATCAGTTGTTCCTGATAGCAGCTATAGTGGCATAGTGCTTCAGCAATCGCACCTTTTGTGCCTGTTTGTTTGTTTGGTTGGTTGGCTGGTTGGCTGGTTGGCTGGTTGGTTGGCTGGCTGGCTGGCTGGCTGGTTGGCTGGCTGGTTGGTGGTTGGTTGGTTGGTTGGTTGGTTTGGTTTGGTTTGGTTTGGTTTGGTTTGGTTTGGTTATTTGTTTGTTGGTTTGCTTGTTGGTTTGTTTGTTTGTTTGTTTGTTTGCGTGTTTGTTTGTTTGTTTGTTTGTTTGTTTGTTTGTTTGTTTGTTTGTTTGTTTGTTTGTGTGTGTTTGGTTCTTTGACAGTTGTTGTTTGTTTGTTTGTTTCTTTGTTTCTTTGTTTCTTTGTTTCTTTGTTTCTTTGTTTCTTTGTTTGTGTGTGTGTTTGTTTTGTTTGTTTCTTTGTTTCCTTTTTTTTTTTTTTTTCGTTGTTTCTTTGTTTGTGTGTGTGTTTGTTTTGTTTGTTTGTTTGTTTGTTTGTTTGTTTGTTTGTTTCTTTGTTTCTGTGTTTCTTTGTTTCTTTGTTTGTGTGTGTTTGTTTGTGTGTTTGTGTGTGTGTTTGTTTGTTTGTTTGTTTGTTTGTTTGTTTGTTTGCTTGTTTGTTTGTTTGTATGTTTGTTTGTATGTTTGTTTGTTTGTTTGTTTGTTTGTTTGTTTGTTTGTTTGTGTGTTTGTTTGTTTGTTTCTTTGTTTGTTTGTTTGTTTGTTTGTTTGTTTGATTGTTGCTGTGTTGTGTGTGTGTTCTGTGTTGCGTGTGTGTTTGGTGTGTATTGGTTCTAATGTGTTGTGTTTGTTTGTTTGTTTGTTTGTTTGTGTGTTTGTTTGTTTGTTTGTTTGTTTGTTCGTTTTATTTCGTTTGGTTTGTTTGTTTATTTTGTTTCATGCTGTTTTTTTGTGTTTTCCTGTGAATGATTTGTTTGTTTGTTTGTTTTGTTTGTTTGTTTGTTTGTGTGTATTGCTGTGTATTATTTGTTTGATTTGCATGGTGCATTGTTGTGGTTCGGCTGCTTTTTGTGTGTGTGTGTGTGTGTTATTTCGGTTGATTGTTTGTTTAGTTTGTTTCATGTGTTTTTGGTCCGCTTGTCGTTTTGTTTTTGTTGTTTGTTTATTGTTGTTTTGTTTGGCTTGTTTGTTTCTTTTGTTTCATGCTGGTTGTTTGTTTGTTTGATTTAAAGCATGTGTCTCTATCTCTCTCTGTCTCTTTCCCTTTCCCTTTGGAGGCAAATAGTCAGTTGTGACGCCTTCGGGATCCTGCCTCATGTTTCGGTCATGGTTTTTCTTTGCGTTGCTTGCTGGGCAGCGCAGCTCCCAAGGCTTCTCATGTTGAGCGTGGGAGGGCAGCGCAAAAGGGATTGCGACACTAGCAGGCTGGCTCGTTATGATCAGGCGCAAGGTCGAATGAGAGGATACGTGCGGCTGTGTTACCAAAGTGCTGATGCAAGACAAGTGCAAGCTGGGTCTTCCAACCTCTCTCGGCGGCCAGGACTCGCTTCA